ACTGGCCCATAGGTGTCACTGACTCAATCAAAAAACATGGCAGAGGCAGAAAGAATGACCATCGCCTATTAGCAAAGATGATGAGCACCCTTCAAACTCGCACATGGCAAGTGTGGATTCGACAGGCTGAACCAACCACACCAAAGACCCGTGAAGGCTTACCAGGGCCTGAATGCCGCTAGCCAAGCAGGACAGCCAGGCACTAAAGCCACTTACCAGAAAGGAAGATGCCAAGCACAGCCAAAACAACCAGGCTATGACTGGCATTTTGTATAAAACAACATTTTGTATAAAACACGTGAGCTCCAGCATTCCCCATCACAAACACCGAAACTCCCCAAGCTAAAGGCCCAAACAGAAGAGTCAAAGACTCATGAATAGCCCTTAGAGAGGCTCTCAACCCTGGTGGCCTCGCCTCTCAGGGGCAAACATATCAGAGAAGATATCTGTCAGTGCAGGGACGGTGTTAGCAGGCACCCAGGGAAGGAACCCAGAGTGCATGCAGCCTAGAGCACAACACAGCCAAGCCCACACAAGCCAGATAGAAAGCACAAACATGATGCAAATACTAAAATATAGAACAGGGTACAAATCAAATAGTCCCCACAGGAACAAGTCCAAGAAAGGCTGGCACTTAGCTTGAAGCAGAGGGGCTTGTTACATCTAAAAGAGCCATAACACTACTGTCCAGCTGGGTATCAGTGAATGAACTGAGCAAGGATGATGCCTGAGTACAGAAGCTGGACTGCCTGGTGGTGGCATGAAGTACTGTACTATGAATTTTACACTAATTTTTAATGTTTTTCTTCTGTGTGAACGGTTTACAGAGTTGTTTGACAATTTCAAGACTTTTGTCTTTACTATCCCTCCAGTTGTCTGCAAAGCTTCTCAATTTCTGAATGCTTATGAACGGAGCCAGGTTTTGGCTTTGGTCTCCATAGCCCAAAATGAATTCCTGCATCTGATGTATATTTGCATGGAGCAATCTCGGCAAGATTAGATTCAGGGAGCCACTGGGGCTCATCCAGAAAGAGGCCTTCCATTACATTTAATGCTGGGTTTTCCATTTTTCCTAATTTTTTTTATCTACTTTATTTACTAGTATACGTATATACAATTGTTTTGTTGTATAATATTTTTTTATATGCAAAGATGCATTCTATTACTTAGTGTATATTATTTTATGTATATATATATATATATATATATATATATATATATATATATATATATATATATATATATATATATATATATATATATATATATATATATATAAATAAATTAATCGAACAGCAAGAAATAACAAAGATCTAAGAACCAGAATTCTTGCCTAGCCTACAGGCAACCACTTAAACCCATGAGCAAGGTTACAATATATGAATCTAAACCTATTACAGGTACAGTGTGTGTATATGTGTATGTATATATTATATATATATATATATATATATATATTATATATATATATATATATATATATATATATATATATATATATATATATATATATATATATATATATATATATATATATATATATATATATATATATATATATATATATATATTTTTTTTTTATTATGCATACACCTCATATGTGCACATATACATACACACACTGAACAGAATGAATGAATGATGTCTCACCTAAACACCTACTGAAGATTAAATACAAGGAACCAAATAAACCGGAGAGTGAAAACCAACACCCAATGCCTCTTCAAATGATTCCCAAAGGTTAAAGATAACACAAAATGCAGCCAAAATAAAAACACAACCCTGTTTCCATCAAAGGAAATAAATTAGAAGCAAACTATTTTTAGAAGCACAACAGGCACGTAGTTAATAAAATAATAATAATAATAAATAAATAATAAAAAATGGCCAAGAATATTTTAAAAAGATGATTAAGAATAAAAAAAAAAAACGAGATGCTTCAAACATAATCAAGAATAAAATCAAATTATTGTGTACTGTATTAGTGTGTGTTAATCCCTGGAAGGATTAATTGTTCCATCCATTGTCATACCCTATGTGCCAATTTTCCAAGTTCCAAATTTTCAAGTATTGTTCTTAAAAATAAGCAAGTTTTTTCAAACAAATTCCATTTATTTTCATGGATAAAGAGAATTTCATTTCAAGTAAATTCCAATAATAATACACAGCATATATCTGGTACAGTACTTATATATACTAAGTACTGTATACTGTACTGTAAACTTAGTTATATATAAATAAGTACTGTATGTACTTATATATACAGTATATATCTGGTCAGCCTAGGGCGCCTGACAGCTGGGTGGACAACGCTTCGGATTCGTAGTCCTGATGTTTCGGATTCGATCCCCGGTGGAGGCAGAGACAAATGGGCAACATGTTTCTTTCACCCTGATGCCCTTGTCACCTAGCAGTAAATAGGTACCTGGGAGTTAGTCAGCTGCTACAGGCTGCTTCCTGGGGGGGTGTAACAAAAAGGAGGCATGGTCGAGGACCGGGCCGTGGGGATGCTAAGCCCCGAAATCATCTCGAGATAACCTCAAGAAGATACTTAAAATTCAAACAAATTTTCACATAACTTCCCATTTTCCTTTATTGGAATCAAGGGAGTATAACAAAAATTTAATTTTAATAAAAATGTGAGCAATAATATCACTTATTAAATTTTGTTTTAAGTAATAACTTTTAATGAATATCAATGTATATAGAGTATTAGGTAGTAACAGCCAGAGATTCCCACCGCAAAACCTCACAGCTTGAGCTGCGTTAACATCAGATTAACCCCCTATACATCTCGTGATGCAAGCTGCACTCTATAGGGTTAGACTGCATGTAGTATGTGAACTTAATTGGTAAACTACAGAAATGTATAAAAAAAAAATCTTGTGAATTTTTAAAGACTTTAGAAAGAATAAAAATTATAAATAAGAATAAGACAAAAATTAATTAGTTAAGCCTACATCAGCATGAACTTTAGCATCATTAGTAAGATATTTAATGTGCATATTATGCTACCAATGCAACATTCTAGCACTAAACAAATATGCTAACGATCTATGGGTATCATTGCCGAGGTATGGGAGTTTGTACAACAAACTTTCTCTATGTATTGTCCTGTTTGTCCTAAGTACTATACAGGCATCTGGAGGGATCACACTTACAGTACTATACTGATGAAACCATTCATGGTCAAACACAAACCTCAAACCAACTATGACAAAAATTAAATACTGTATGCACAATTTAATTAAAAGGTATTTTTAAACACTTGCTTTCTACTCTTCTGCAAATGTACATGATAATTTTTTTTTTCCAGAAATAAGGAAAGTACAGAGCAATGTAACAAGATTTTAATTTGGCAACTGCAACATTTGTACTTACAATAATTTACTCGTTTCATTATAATTTCATGACAAATTTCTAAATAAATAACATTTCCTGATTAAAAGCACCAGACTAAAGAATATTGGAGCATTTCTGAATTATCCTGTTCAAACTACAGAATATACAACTACTGCAATAAATTTTCTTTAAAAGAAATGTTGTATTTCACCTCTTAAAATGGGTTCATGTCTGACCATGTGTGGCAGCTCTACAGTGAAAAAACAGTAAGACGACTGTTTTTCTCACGTCACTCCTAATTCTCATATTCACCTTTACTTCCCCACCTCCATATCATCAAAGCCATCTTCCTCAAAGGCCACCTCATTTCCTAAGCTCTCCATTGCTTGTCTCTCCCCATTTACTGAAGGGAGTTCATTAACCTCATCCTGGGAGGGAGTGGGTGATGGGGGCAGGGGGGAAGCTGGAGGGGAGTTAGGAGGCAAGACGAAGCTAAAGCTTGCGTCCTCTGTTGTCACCTTCCGCGGAATTCTGCGCACTCTGACACCAACACGGACTGCCAGTGCACAGTGAAACAAAGAAATAGAGAAGAAGAAGAAGAATTATTTATGCTACCCAAGTTAAAGAAAAATAAAAGAACCTATTCTACTGAACACCAGAGACAATCCATGGGTTATCCCCCACACGTTAGAATAAATCTTCGCTCTGCTTAAAAGAATATGAAAGCAACATTCAAATTCAAAAAACTACAAAATTAAATAATAATTCTAGTAATAATGATATTAAATATAATACTAAATATAGTAATAATAAGCCAAGCTCAAAATGTTGGCTCGAGCTCTCCTCATCACTTTGCAGGCTTCACTGTACCTTGGAAATACTACCATCTGATCCTAAAGATCTTGTCCATTAGTGTTGTAGAATAGATTCCTATTTGTCTTTAGATCCTCTTCGGCAAACCATAGCGATGCCCTTTCTGAGCAGAGCCATTGCTCTATTTGGCTTTCGGGGCTTTCCCCCTATGCGGACTGGAAATATGGAAAAATATGGATAGTTTATCGTGTATTTCATTTTGTGAGGTGCCTGGGTAGAGGAGTGTTTGGGCAACTTGGGAATCAGCATCACAACTTCTCAAGGATACAAAATGCCATAAACATAACATTGTAGGGTGTACAAACAGCTTAAAACCAGTTCTCTTAATGCAGCGATTTGCGTTGATCTGACCATCAGAGGATCAAAAATACAAATAAGTGCTAGGAAGAGGAAACTAAGGATCAGAAGCCACTGAAAGAGAAAGTCTGCATAAATCATACACAAAATGCAGTACAATACAAACAGGTATAATAGGGGGAACCAAGGACAGTCCTTATTCTAAACATATAGGACAACTTAAACATTATTCAGACATTATATGATTTTGTATTACAAGAACTGTCCACAGTTCCACACCAAACAACAGGCAGCAAACCAGAAACTTTAATTCTATATCATGAGGGATATATGCCAAAATGCAATAGCAATATTCTCTAAATCAACTCAATTTCAACCAAATAGGAGCAGGCTCAATTAAAGTAACAGGAGGGCCGGGTTGGGAAACAAACCCAAACAACAAGAACTGTCCGGTGAGCATTCTCTACCCCCCCACATGGATCACCAACCTTACATGGAATGGGGAAGAAGAGAAGTCTACCCTACACTATATTACTAACACACTGCTCTCAGGCTGAAAAGAAAAAAAAAAACAACAACAAGCAATGGGCTCTTGACAGCCTTATCTCCTCCTCACTTTTGCCTGTTTATTCTGCTGTGCAAAGGGAAGATATAATTTGCTTGAACTGGTGTTAGAAAGCAGCTTTATGCAACTAATAAGTTTTTACAAGAAAAATATAATTTCCATTAAGCTTGCCAAATAAATTTTGTGTATTACTTTTAAGCAAGCATTTGTACCACTATATATGGTATATATATAAGCAACAAGATGAGGGTAACCAAGGAAGAAATAAAAACTGAAGTCTGTTTATATACAGTACATACATAAGTATCAGAAAACTAAAGTGCTAGAACTTAAATCAAGAGGAAGCAGAGTACATAACATAAAACTGATGCATTTTGCATCAGATACTTGACTATTGGAGAAAGATAGCGATAATAAGCAAGCTAGCAACATTAGTGAATATTCTTTTGTTGTGAACATATCTTTTCAAGTTCATAAATGCTTATATATTGTTATTTACCTAAAATTTGACCAACAAGCTTTAGCTTATAGCTGGCATCTCAATCCTATTCCATACACCATGTTTCTTTTTTTTTCCACTATTAAGTATAATTTGTTAATGAGGCCTTTAATGCTTTAGAAGTCTTCAGAATTATGGAGGAATTCCCTGATTACTGAAACTTTTAGGCTATACAACTTTTGAAACAAGTACTTATATAAGAATTCAAAATACATACCTCAATATTTAGATCCTTTTAAAATATGAAGCAGATACCTAAGTAACTGACTAAGCCCCACCTTGTGACAGTGGGAAACGGGGTGGTGATAATGTATATAACTGATCAAGCATAATACAAAGCATAGCTTAATTTCTACTTCTTTAAAGTCTTTTGGATCAATAGTATCGTGATTATTACACACTTTTCTGTAACATTTTTTACATTACAAAATTTTTGTTCTCAATACATAATTTTCCAACTCAAAATTGAGGTTCATTTTATATCTTGTTTTGCAAATGCAAAAGAGTAAACATTCCAATCAAACAATCCACTTCAAGTGTAACAGTAAAAATGCAATTGATGATGCACTAAATGCATATTCACAACAATAGGGAGCTTGTGTCAAGTCATGTTACCCTATTTTACAAAGGCAAATTTTAAAAAATTGGCAGAAATACATTCCTCTACTGCAGCTGCATAAAGAAAATATCAGACTTGCATATAGTATGTGTCAGCCTTTAAATGAAATGCAGAATATTTTGAGTCCTCTTGTTGAAAGGCTACAGATGTACATTATCCAAAATATTCTCTAGAGATTCTGCATGGCTGTTTAGTTGTGAATATTGGATTTTACACAATACAGATAAAAATGAAGATTTTCAAACTCAAAATCACTTTTTTGTCTTGGGATATAACTGAAGGTAAATGCAATTACAGTATTCCCTAAAATTATGGGAACACCACCAAAAAGATGCCACCTTTCAGAGGCTTCATGCTCACTGAATATAATTATTTTCTTATTATAATTCTAAGATATTTAAGCAAATCTATACAATTCCTAGAAATGCAAGCCATACAGTATTTACATTCTTTAAATATGCTTAAAATATTGCCCAACAGAATTCAGGCCAATATTTTTATATGATCAGATGCCATATTCTTGCAAACAAAGGAATTGATGAAAGGATTTTGTAACGGATAATATATATTAGGGGTTTCCATAACTTACCAAGCTTGAGCGAAATTAGTGTGTGCAACTAAACTAAAAAAAGCAGAGCAAAGAAAAAACCTGTTGAAGCATATTACCTCATTTAAAATGTCCTTAAAACTTGCAAATCCAAATTATGACATCTGCAACTTATCAGACCTGGAAACCTGCTTCAAACAACTGTAATTATCAACACCAAATTAATAATATTTATAATAAAATTCATCGGCACTAAAATTACAACAGCGGTGCGATGAATCCATGTAGAGCCCTGATGCCTTATGTAATGATGCCAGAAACAGCTTCATACTCACAGGTGTCCAGATTCTTTTGTAGGTGCTTGGAGACACGGTTGCGGGCATCGTTGAACTCAAAGTGGATGCCGACACGTAGGACTGTGTTGTTTTGTTCAATAATGTCTGTGAGCTGCATCTCTATCTTATTACCAAGAACACTCGCCCGCTGTAATACAAATTATACTACTTAATATAAAAGTAAAATATATCTTTTGCAGGGACACATCTTTACAAAACATGGACAGTTTATATACCAAGATTATCAAATTGTATATACATAAATTTCCAATAATGAAAAGTAGTCTCATAATTTTGTTCTATAGAAATGTGATCAATCACCAGTTTAATTTAATTAGACTAACATTTGGATAATATTATTGAACTTCTGGCAACATTAAATTGTAGTAAAGGAATGTAAGCATTTTATTAAATGTAACAAATGTACATATTGAAGATGATCAAACAAAAATGTGGATAACTCTCTCCTATAAATTAAGATGGTTTTCTAAACAGGCTGATTTGCATTACAGTACCTGGTTTGCAAGACGAATCTCTTCCACGGAATGAGTTTTTAGAAGAGCTTCCATAATTCGAACAATACCTGACGGGCTTATGTTATTCGTCTCCAGGCTAAAATAAAAAATAAGCAATGTGTACGAAATTTATGTAATTTAAAAAAAAATTAAACTGAATAAAGTAAATAATACAAATACAGTATTCATTAAACCAATACTTTGTTCTCTAGCTGGTGGGATATTGTCCATAATTTGTGATCCTACCAAATTATTGTGTGCACTTGCAAATAAGGATATTTGGATATACATTTGCAAAAATGAACTGCAAGGTTTTGAAGACAAAAACTGACTTTCTCATCTATTCTCACCATCCAAGCATTGTCTATTTTGTTGCTACAGGAGATTTGAGATACAGCATGATAAAGAAAGCTCTTGAATTATTAATAAGCCTGTGTTTAAAATGCTATGAGACTGTTTTGTACTTGAAAAGGTTGAAGTAAGGGAGAGTACAGTATTTTCATCCTAATCGTGAGAAGTGTTATTTAATTGGTAAAGGTATGAGTGTAAAGCTGAGTGGGTTATTCCCGCCCTACCTTACAACCTAAAGTGAAGTGTCAAGGGGTGAGATAAACATCAAGTGAATTTGAATATTGTATCTGTGAATTAGTCACCACTTGTTTATACCATGAAATAAGAGTGTGGAAAGGATTAGGATGACCTCAGCACAGACACAAAAGTGAGAATGGAGGAGCGGAACCTAAAACATTGAAAAGGCACACATATAAGGTACAAGATGTTTATTGCTTATCATGTTTCATAATTGTAATTTTGATAACCTTTCCAACTACCATAACATCATACAGTTTATACAAAAATAATTCATTGTGATGTGACATTACTCTCCACTTGGAAGAGGACACAGACAAATTCATCAATTACTGTATAAACAATATGAATTTTGTAGTGACAGAAGGTGTGTAGATTTAATATATATACAGTATCTTACAGTAAGACATCAAGCCAGGAAACTTTCCAGGCCTTTATGGGCTTGGAAAAAAATATGCCAGATACATTCCACTGCCTATAAATCTACATCTGATTTAGCAGAATTTAACCACCTGATCTCACCCTTTTCCCATATTCCACCCTTCAGAAGCCCTGGTCTTTATGTATCTCTTATATCTGATAAAATTCCTAATAGGCAATAATTGTCATTTTCTAATACAATGTACTTTTGGTGCCGTTCTACACTGTTGTTAGCACTGTGCTTGTAATTACCAAATACATGCTTATCATCATGTATGACCTGAGTCAAATTCTGTTAAATGGTCAGAAGAACTACTGTATATGGAAAGCAGAGCCTATATTAACAGTTTATGAGTGCAACAATTGATTACCTGATTTACTGTCAAATGTATGGCCATATTACATCTGCTACTTTCAACATGTAATTACAGTAATTTATTTAGTTTATGTATAATGTGAAATATATAAAAATTTGTAGTGTGAAACATATTGGCAACAAATATAACTTAAAATATTACTCATTACATCAGATAATAAAAAGTACAGGATTATTAAACAGCTTTTTAGAAACATAGTAAATAATGTCATAAGTTCTACATTGGCATATTCAAGGGGAAGCAGGATCAAATTCACTTTGAACACAAAGGTCACACAATATTTGACTATTATTTGAACTGGCTACAAAATTTTCCTCTATGATGCTGGCCAGCAACCTATTCTACTTGTCTACCATCCTGTTGCCAAACTAATACTTCCCTATATCCTTCCAGAATCTGAACATCTCCAGCTTATAGCTACTGTTGTTATGGGTTCTGACCTGGTCTGACAGTTTCAAGACCTTGCTTATATCTTCCCTATTCATATCCCTCATCCACTTGAAGACCACAAATTATGTCTTCCCCTCACCCACCTCCTCTCAAGAGAATATAGGGCAGCCTGCTTTAACCTCTTATTGTGTGGGAGGTCCCAAATTCCTGGGATCAGTCTGCTCATCCAACATTAAATTTTCTCACCAATTCAAACACCAATTTTTACAAGTGCAGAGGTTATGATGGGCAGGTTGGGGTGGGGAATGAAAGGAAAGGGGAAGAAGTGAAGCTGTGCATGGCTATCCAATTGTATTCTAAATCAATAGCACCAGCAATGTTGATACTCTATGTAATTTTAACACTGAATATGATTACGTTCACATGTACTGTATATTGCTTTTCATGTCTTAATCCAAAAGGAAATTTTTAAAAAGGTAAGAAGGTATATTTTCAAAAGCATTCTATAGTCAATTTTTATTTCAACTGATGAAAAATTTAAGTGCGTACTGTATAACCATTTTAGTGTTAAATACCGTGAAGCTAAAATAGAAATTTAAGTGTACCCAAAACCCAAAAAATAAATAGGTAGCT